ACCAGGTTAACTAAAGCGTGACCGGCAAGGACTCGGGTAGTAGGGTAAACCCTACCTAGCCTGCTGAACACGCGGGTCTTCGACCCGCGCTTCGCGTAAGTGGTCGCTTTCCGCGCTCGTGAATCGCCTTTCGCTTTCTGCGCCGCTAATCCACTAGCCTGTTCCAGGCTCTCGGTCAGTGGGGACGATCGAAAAAGCGGGCGCGGGACGAGCGGGGTCTGGTAACAAAAACAAAAAAACAAAAAAACAAAGGAGAGGGCGTCCCCTCTTTCTCTACCAGACCCCGCTCGTCGCTCGTCGCCCAGCCGCATTTTTGATCGTCCCCATTGACCGAGAGCCTGGAGCAGGCTACTAATCCACCTGTTCTGCAAGCCAACCCTACCTGAAACATTTTGCTTGTAAATGCAGGCTATCTTTGACCCGCTAGGGTCAACTCAAGTTGCTTGTAACCAGTGCCTTAGAAAGCTTTGGATCTCCTTGAGCGTCCACCCACTGACTCACATGATGCTACATAATGTAATTTCGCATCGAACAGCATCAAACAAGGCATAATTGGATGTAGGCTGCTGAGATTATTTGAGCCACGAAGACATCTCAACTCTGTTTTCCTGATTTGGAGGTGTCAGCGAGATTCCTGGTGCAAAACGTTTCCTTTTAATAAAAGAGAGATTCCGGCTAGCGGAAAATTTACGAAGTGCTCGCTTCTCTCCATCCGGTATTTTCTAAAGTGCTCACTGCTCACAAGACAAATTTGATCACTGCTCGTGCTCGCAGAAATAAACGCAGTGCTCGGATGCAAATGCTCGCAAAGACTGTTTGATACCCCTACTATTGTACGCATCGAGCCCGAATTATTATTATTTTTTAATAGCAATTGTTGAAAACTTTTCGATCCTTAACTTAGCTGGAAAAGTACTCGAGGCTGATGTGCAAAAAAGACTACAATCTCGTGTTTTGTGAAATCTGTACGAAAGCTAAAACGTTTAACGGAATGAGCAAGGAGTCCCAGCGCAGAAATTTTCAAAATACTACGCTCTATTGACATGCTGGTCTCCAAGAACACTAAATTGCGAACTATTTATCCACAAGGGTATGGGACTTTTTCATGGGTCTGGGACTCAAACTATTGGGCCTGGAACTCGTAGTTTGCTGGCTATATGAGTACCAGGACTCACTACAGTCTTTGTCTAGATGGATCAATGTTCCACTTTGGCCCGAGGTCGAGTGTGCAAAGTTTACTGCCAAGTTGTTTTGTAGAGTTTATGGGTATGACTTTAAGGTCTAAAGTTGGGAGAGTGATGAAAAACAATATTATATTTAGACGCTTTCGTATTATTGTTAAGAATAAAACTACGACGTAAATAAAACCACAAGTTCATACACAAAATGTGAGCAATTGCCATTCACTGCAATGTAAAATGATGAATCAGTTGACACGTCAAAACTTTAGAGAGGAAGAATTGCCGTGAATAGCTGCTCAAAGTTTCAGCTTCACTGAGTTAATCTAATCCTGTTCGTGAAAAGATCTCATGGGTAGCATTCACCCTCCACCATTGTACGTCCGCGGGTTACAGGCCTCAGGGAAAACTTTTGAGTTCGGACACTTAAGGGACTGCTCAAGGATTTTTTAGATTTTTGCTGAAAATTTGTTGTTTTACCTCATTTTGTATGGCTCTGTGATTCTAGTTAGCTATCGTGGAAGTCACTTTATGTGAGTCG